CTACTACATATATGAATATGAGACTAAGAAAATATAATCCTAATCTTATTCCTAGTCCTAATCCTGATAGGTCTAGAATACAGATTCAAGGCATTTTCTAACAAATCTCCACCTTGACTTGAATCTCCTCAAAAGACAGCAGATGTATCAGATTTCCTTCCAGAAGTGACCAGATGTACCGTAGGTACCAGAAGTCCAACCAAGGACGCAAATGTCACTAAAAGACATGAACAGATTGTTTCACTTGAGTTCAGAAGTGTTGTGACACACCAAAATAGATTTCCCTCATTCATGGGAACAGATAACTCAAGCTAAAACACCAACCGATGCAAACTCCACCTTGAGTCCAAATGACTCTTCATGGAACCTAAACAGAAACAGATGACACCAACCTAGTATCCAGATGACTTCTCCTGAAGCCCAGATTGCCCTTCATGGGCTCAAATTGCCCCATACGGGCCAGATCCCCTTCCTGGGCAGATTGCCTCATTGAGGCGTAGAAACAAATGATTCTTCAAGGTGATCAACAGTCTCAATCCGTGCAGATGGAACCTCCACCTCAACATCAAGACTTTCATCACCTCTATGAATCTCAGATGATGCAACAATGACAGATTCTTATAGAAGATATAAGGTACCATGCTTAATACCTTTCAGAACCACCTTCGAATCCTGAACGACTTGAAGCTCCACCTGTTTATCAAGACTCTCAGTTTCTGACGTAATTGTAGGCTTCACGATGGTTCTAAGCAGAGAACTTTCATCAAAGACAACGTTTCTGCTTAGGATAACCCTCTTTTCTGCTGAAGACCAAATACAAATCTTGAGAGCTTGGAAATTGTATCATGGCATGCGGTTGATCAGAACCCTACTCTAATTGGGCTTGAAATGAACCATACTCTAATTGTGTATCATGGCATGCGGTTGATCAGGAAATTTGCAGTTCAAGGCATTTCTCCTAGTCCTAATCCTGATAGGTTTAGAATACAGATTCAAGGCATTTTCTAACAGTTCAAAGCAGCGAGCAGATACAGCAATTGAGAAGGAAGGGAAAGGGAAATAGTCTGGACAACCTACCACCATCGACAGCCTAGAGACGATGAGCGATAGAAGTGATCTGAAATCTAGAAAAATCCAGCATCTAATGGTGTTTTTGAGGGTATAATCTTCAAATCCATTGTTAATATTCACTTTCCTCTTTATTTATGTGTTGATTTAATGTTTGGCTAAAATCCACAATTGGTCCTTCAACTTTATCAGTTGTGCACGATTGGTCCTTCAAGTTTCAAAAGTCCATAAATAGTCCTTCAACTTTATGAGTTCTGCACCATTGGTCCTTCAAGTTTTAAAAGTCCATAACTAGACCTTCACGTACACGTCAGCCCTCCATATGAAGTCTTTTTGACCGTAAATATTAAAAGTTAAACGAAATACTAGTTTCATATAATACGAGTAAATTCCACTAGGTACGACTACTCCGTATTATATGGAACTAGTATTCCATTTAGCTTTTAACATTTACTGTCAAAAGGACCTCATCTGGAGGGCTGACGTGTACTTGAAGGACTATTTATGCACTTTTAAAACTTGAAGGACCAACCGTGCATAACTCATAAAGTTGAAGGACTATTTATGGACTTTTAAAACTTGAAGTACCAATCGTGCACAATTGATAAAGTTGAAGGACCAATGGTGGAGTTTAACCTTTAATGTTTATTGTCCAATTTCAGTTATATTGTGAAAGTTATGGGCTTGAATATATATGAAATTATTTTAAGTCTTGTTAAATGATTGATTTTATTTATATTTTGGATCTAGGTAGTAAGTTCTATGATTGTATGTACGTAGTGTATGCTATGTTTAACATTCAAGAAATTTTCAATGTTTTCCAATTTAATTAATAATTTTGAGTGGTGATACTAAATCAATGCTTTAGAGTGACATTTATTTATTTTGAAGTTAGCATCACATTATTTTATGAATTGTACCATTGTCATCAGTGCATTGCAGTTTCTTCCCAGTTGCTAGTGAGATTAATTACTTATTTTGCACCAATATTCTTTTCTTTTATTCTTTTCTAGTGGCTGATTCAAGTGGCAATATTGATGATCATTTAATTTATTAAATCTTAACTGCACAAGCAATAACACGGTACAAGGCAGCTTTTCACTTTGCTAGAGATGCTATATGCTATAGTTCAATTTACTTGTTGTCCCTGATCTGCTTTCCTCCCTCGATTTATAGTGAAAGTTTTTTACTATTGTGTAGCATTTTTGGCATTCTAACATTAAGATTGCAAGAAGGAGAAAAACTTGGAGACTTTAGGCTGTATGAGTCATAGAATTTTGGCATTATAACATTCATATGTGTTAATGTTTAATTTTTAGTTGGTTGTGTGTATAATCTGGCCATGTTTGAATGATTGAATATGTTTTGAAATTAGATTCAAGCATGCTCTTGATTGGATGCTTCAAATGAATAATGAAAATGTTATTAGTGTTGATATTTGATATCCTCAAACATAACAGTTTTGGCTGATAAGTAACCAAAACTCCAACCCATTTTAATCTTCCCAATTACACTATGTATATCAGATTATGAGATTCACAATACATCACAAATCCATTCTTTTTTGTCTTTTCATTCTTCAGGAGCGGGTACAAGAATAGAGAGCAAAATGATGTGATAGAACGATGCTGGGCCTAGGGTGAGAAATCCCAGCCCCCGACCTTGGGTCTTTAAGGCTCGAAGTAGCAGGCCAATGCAGCAATGGAGAAACAGCAGGAAGGGCGACAGTATGAAGAAGTTGCCACTAGGTACAATCTGGAAACAAAGAGCAATAGAAAAGAAGCCAAAACCAGAAGCGTCGAACGGTATTTTTGAAGGTATAAACTTTAAATATGTAGTTTTTCACATTTGTCAGTGGTATAGTGTACATGTTAGGCTTGAACAGATCTGTAATTATCTCTAATCCTGTAAAATGATTTTTTGTGTTGAATCTAATACGTTTTATAATTTTGATTGTGAGAGGCCACACTGGATTTGATCCATCCCAACTTTTTCTTTTTTGTTAAACTAAATCTGGAACGCATGAATAATCTCTTAAGATTTAATTTCTGCAAAGATCAGTAATAACCAATTTAATTAAGAAGTGGAATTCAGAGGATGAAAGAAAAGTTATCTAAAATGAAAGGGAACCTAAATAGATGCACACAAAAGACCTACAAGCTCAATGGAGGGCACACAAATCCTTGAGGAAGACCATCCAATACATGCAAAGATGAATGTCACTTCACACTTTTAAGAAGCAACAACATATTTAGGCAGTGGTAACTACTCCAGATTCAGCAACAGCTTCTTGTTGTTAATTTTTCTATGTTTGGAATATGAGTTTCAGCTTCTTGTGGTTAATTTAATTTGATGACTTTATCTTTAATACTTTGGATTTGGTGATGGGAAATAGATAAAATTTTGCTTGGACTTTTTTGTCCAGATTGAACTCAGTGTTTTTTAGGCCAGGGAGTCTCATAATGGTTCTAGTTTTCAAGCATTTGCATGTAAAGTGCTTAGGTGTTGTTTTACTTAGGAAGTTAATATTTCTTTTTGGGATTGTTTACGTTGACTGTAACCTGCATAAGATGATGATTGCCATGGTTCTATTCAGTTGGTGCAGGTTTGTATACAATATGTGAGCTGCTATGGTTTCTACTTCGCTTCCAATGTGCAGGACCAACTCTTTTTTTGTTAAATTGGGAGTACATCAGATTAGTAGAGGCTCACATCTTTTTTTGTTAATTTCAGACACAGAAGCAACTACCCGACTGCTATTATAGCGGAGAAAAGAGGGTAAGTACCAATTGTTTATTGTACAGTGAACTTTACAAATGAGACTTCTACATTTTCATATAATACATGATTTGAGAATACTATGAGACTTGAATAATTATTTCATGGGCAGAATTGTAGGAAGAAGGACAAGATGACAGAACTGTATGTGACACATTATGACTTTGAGATGCTCTAGAGAAGTACCAATTATTTTTATCAACCAGAGAGCTTGATTTTGAGATGCTTGGTTAACATAATACTATTAGAGTTATTCTTTTAGCCTATTAGCTCAATGGTAGAGCGTCGTGTGCAAAAGCGCGCGGAGGTGTGGGTCCGAGTCCCACATAGGTTTTTTTATGAATTTAAAATATTAAAAATTCTAGCATTTTTTGTGTAGTGTTTTAAAAACACATATAAATGTGGCAAAATAAAACATTAACCACACTTATATGTGTTTATATGTGTGGCTAACATATTCATTCGCCGCACTTATCAAAAGTGCAGCAATATTTTCCCCACATATTCAATCGCCACACTTACCTCATGTGCGGCAAAAAGTCTCTCCCACCCTTATATTGTGTTTTTTCACAATGTAGCACTTTTAGTTATGATTCATTAGTCATTATTCAAGTAAATGTTTGCCATCACTAGACATTATTCCTCCTTGACATTATTAAGTGTTATATAGGGAATAAAACAGTTTAAGTACTATTTTGGGGAATGACTTAAGTTTTAGTGCTATTTAGTACAAATAAATATATAAAAATTGATCTAAATGCTCACCACATTACACTGCAAAGCTCACGAATTACCAATGCAAAGCTCACCTAAAATTAAAGCAAAACTCACTACTTTAAACACCAAAAGTCACCATTTTTTTAAACTTCGGGAAATAAAAAATTTAGTTAAAAATAATATAGTAACACCGGTCAAGTGGTCGACCACAGGTCAGCGGTGGCGGGACTCCCAAGACCAGCCAAATGGGGTTGCCCATAAAGATAGTGACCAAACTACCCTCTTCCCCATGAAGGAAACCGCATCGGTTGAAAAGCGTTATGCCGCCACGAGAGTGACTGTGAGCTGCCCCGAGAAAGGAGATGTCGTCAGAAAGGTTGTGTTTCTACCTAAGACCATCCAAGAGCTACCTTAGATTGGGGTTACGAAGTATGGTTTCTTGCCTTCAAAGATTTTGAGCAAATCATCGGGAGCAGAAATAGATGACAATGCATTGATCAGAGATGATGGTCATATACTTTTTGCAGGTGACAATATAACATCATCATGTGTGAAATAATCACTAAATTCTAAAACTGAGTAGGGGTAATGTTTGAATACACACTACTCAAAACTTTTTTTGTGTGTTAAATTTTACTCAGTTTATTAACCAAATAACAACATTAATACTCTAGGTGTCTCAAAGGCTCTCGGTCATTGAGGGATTAGAGGGCCATGGTCGAATGTATGCAGCTCGATCTGATCTCTATGTTTAAAGTATACATAGAACGCCTATTTCTGAATGACTAATGATGAGTGTCTAGAGTTGCATTGCATTGAGTACAGTAACTGTTACTTCACTACTCCCTCCGTCCCAAAATATAAGCAACACTCCACTATTTAAAAATCACGGGAATTTTTATTTATTTTTGCATTTTCATTGATTATTTGATAGAATAAAATATTCGTGTTACCACTTGTTTTGTAGAACTTTTGACGTAGTTTTTAAATATGTAAGTTTTATTTTCATTTGTAGACCATTCTTAAAATAAAATGGATTGAAAAAATTTAAAAAAATTACTTCGTTTAGCGTAATGTTGCTTATATTTTGGGACGGAGGGAGTATAAAAGAATTGCATAAAACTGTAAGAGCCATTTTATTGAGTTTGTTATTGCTTCAAATAACCGGATTATGGTATGATTTGTCAGATTCCACTTCAAAGTCCATGTACGGAGCAAGACAGTTGAGGCAAAAGACAGTTGCGTATGATTTAACATATCTAGACTAAAATTCACCATTCATCCTTCAACTTTATCAGTTGTACACGATTGGTCCTTCAAGTTTCAAAAGTCCATAAATAGTCTTTCAACTTTATGAGTTCTGCATCATTGGTCCTTCAAGTTTCAAAAGTCCATAAGTAGTCCTTCAGGTACACGTCAGCCCTCCAGATTAAGCCCTTTTGACAGTAAATATTAAAAGTTAAACGAAATACTAGTTTCATATAATACAAGTAAATTCCACTAGGTACGACTACTCCGTATTATATGGAGCTAGTATTCCATTTAGATTTTAATATTTACTGTAAAAAAGACCTCATCTGGAGGGCTGACGTGTACTTGAAGGACTATTTATGCACTTTTAAAACTTGAAGGACCAGTCGTGCATAAGTCATAAAGTTGAAGAACTATTTATGGACTTTTAAAACTTGAAGGACCAATCGTGCACAATTGATAGAGTTGAAGGACCAATGATGGAGTTTAATTTATTTCCCCAAATGTTTGTACTGTAATGATTTTTCATACGGATTAGGAATAAGAGAGAGGCAAACTTTTTAAATTAGAAGAGTACTTTTGTTATAAACAAGCAAAAAATAGGGAAAAAAATACAAATACTACGAGAACAAAGAAAATGACCAGGGGCATCGCCGCCTCTGTGGTGGTGGTTGATCCGCCGCTTGTCTGCTGGATGCACCTGGCGGGCGACCCGTCCAACCCCACCAACCTCAATGGTATGCAATCAACCATGTATGTTCCCCGGTTCTGCACTGTCACGGTTCAATCCCTCCAAGAGGATTATGACCTGCAAAAAATTAAAGTTTATTGTATATTATTATTAGTCATACTTATTTTCCATAAACAATGTATATATACGCAAGTCTAGATTTCAAAGTGTGTGTTATATATATTAACAACCTTGGCCTTCAACAAGGTCAGGTGAACAAGTACCACATGCTCCGCTACACCTATGGACAAGTAATCGTAAATTTATTCACAAATAACACAAGATTATTACTCCGTATAAGATTATTATGATATATCAGTGGGGGGGGGGGGGGCTTGATTTCTTTACAACTTAAATAGAGTCATTAAGTTTTAAACCCTAATTGGTACGTACGTACGTGTACGTATGTACCAANTTGAGCTTTGTCCATCGTCACGACAGTGTAGCTCCAATCAAACTTCGATTGGTTCATTAGTTTCTTGTCCGTGTTGAGTGCTTTGAGCAACACCCGCTCTGTTCCCGAGGTCGAAATTTTGAGCAAAATTTTGTACTAGAAATTAATATTCAAATTCCAATATTAATTTTGTAATTAATATTCATTACAAAAGAACTCTCAAACTCTATTTTTTTTTCTCTAGTGCTGCGGCACTGTTTTTTTTTTTTTCTCTTGTTAAAGACACACAACTTAATACGTACATATATGGAGTATATTTATAGTTGTTTGTGGCGGTGGAAGAGCTTGCTAGAAATGGAGTAATTATTGCTTTGTTGACTTTTCTATGCTTAATAACTAAGCATGTATTTGCCGCCTTTAATTCCCCCACATGCATTAGTTTGCATTGCATTACTTGGCAGTCCCACCACATACCGGTGGGTGATGTCGATTATGCAGGGGGTGACGGCGGATGCGGCAGCCACTGCTGCCATAAAGCAATCAAGATTCATCTTGTGAATTGGATAAGGCAAAGAGAGATCAGAGAGAGAGAGAGATTGAAGTGGAAAAGCAAGAACAGAATGCTGTGTGAGGGCCTGAGGGTTGATATTGCTGGTGGTACTGTACTTCTTTGAGTCTTTCCTTAAAAAATACGGAGTACTCCGTAAGATTATTATTGGGTTTTTATTTCTCTGCTTATATTTCTAAAATACTACCTTCCTTTCCTAATTGTTTGTCCAATTTTAAATTGTTTCAATCAATCATTTTCAGTTTTTGATCTATAATTAAAAAAATACTCCGTAAGTAACTGACTTAAAGGACTTTAAAGAACGCAAATTTTTCAAAACGTAACTGACTTTTTGGGATGGAAGGAGTATTAAATAGATAAAATAATATTTTAAAAAATAAATCTTGTAATAAATCTAATAAACCTATTGTAGTGGGATTCAACTGGGTTGTTGTTGTTTTTGTTAATAAATCTAATAAATTATTTTTATATCAATATCTAATTTCATTTTTATTTAATTTGAAGTCAAAATTTATCAATTTTGACTAAAAATATTCAAAAATGAACAAACATTCAGGTAGAGAGAAAGTAAGAATTATCAGTTTAATTACGGACTAGTCTAATGTGAATTTTGCACTAAATAGGACTAAAACATAATGACTTTCCTAATGTAGGACTTAAGCTTTTTTATTCCCTAAATAGGACTTAATAATGACCTAGTGGGAGGAAAAATGTCCAGTAATGATGGACATTTACTTGAATAATGACTACTTTATAATGACCAAAGGTCCTGCATTGGAAAATAAAAACATATGGTCATATATTGGAAAAGTCATTATGTTTTAGTCCTATTTAGGTAAATTTCTCTAGTATAATTGGGCCAAGGTTATTGTATTTGACTATTTGGACTCTAAAATACGGAGTATCTTTGGGAGGAAGTGTTTAAATGATGTGATATTTTTAGAGTGTTTTTTAGTGCGCTTTGGGTATGCTATCAATGGATCTTCTTGCATAAAATATTTTTTATAAATTTTTTTATTTAAAATACAAATGCTTATTTAGGTAGCAAAGAAATGCTTATTTTGATCATATGTAGGTTAATGGTAGATTTTAGGTCCATCATAGAATTTGGCAATTCTTTATAGGTCTTTGTTTGACTCGTAACCAAGTTTAAGAAAATTTTGACTTTCTCTATGTTTGTTTTAGTTTTTTAAAATTTGTTGTACCAATATCCATATGGTTTAGTAAATGTACATCGTAATGCTTTTATTTTTAAAATTTACTATGATAATGCCCCTCTAGGCTATAGTTTCTTTATATCTTAGATTGAATAATTCTGCCGCCATTTTCTTTCTTTTATTGTTTCTTCTATTTTCTTCATAAATGTTTTTGAAAGAATAATATTTGGAGAAAATAATTCTCTCATATCTTCTGATGATTCAATATGAAAAAGTCATGTGCTTGTATAGGATCCCACAATTTAGGAACTTTATTTGGAAACAAACTATACATGGAAAAAAATAAAGGAAATAGAATAATACTAGGAAACTACCATGTACAATCAAATAATAATATATTCAAAAATATATGCTTTCCTTTAGCACCCGCCTCAAGTTTAAGTTAGTAAAAGTGAAAAGCCCAACTTGGGAATGATGAACTCCATGCATGCTTTACTCAAAGCCTTCCTATGAATGTCTGCAAGTTGAAGCGAAGTGGAAACATGATGAGTGTGAATCACACTGCAAAGAAGTTCGTCACGAGCAAAATGGCAATCAATTTTTATGTGCTTCGTGCGCTCGTGAAAGACTAGATTAGTAGCATTATAAAGGGCAGCCATGCAATCGCAATATCTGCTCATAGGATCAATATGCAAAATGCCTAGTGAGTGCAAAAGTCATTTTAACCATTTCAATTCACAAGTAACTACAGCAAGGGCCCTATATTAAACTTCAACGAACGAACGAGCAACGAACTATTATTTGCTTCTTTGTTTTCCAAGAAGCACAGTAGGCCCCAAGCTAAACAAACCAACCTGTCAAAAAATGCCCCGTGACAGGACACACTGCGGAATCTAAACTACACCACCCAGTAACGTTTAAATTATTATTTGCAGAGAGAAGAATACCACACCCTGGGCATGCACCCTTTCAAATATCGAACAACTCCAAGGGCAGCAGTACGTCCACTGATCTTCTCGTGGTTCATTCAAGAATAGTGCTAAAGTATGCACAACATAAGATAGCTCAGGGCGATTCAGAGATAAATAAATCAATCGTCCCACTAAGCGACGATATGGTTCTAGATCAGCAAGAACTAGAGCTTGGGAGCGGACCAAATGATGATTTGGGCTCCATTTATGCCCCTAACGGCCTAGCACCTAGCAGACCAACCTTAGTAGTAATATCTAGAGCATACTTTAGCCTTGGTACAACACGATGTTCACTGGGCAACACCGATGTTGAGTTCAAAAACCAAAAAAAATGTTAGCCTTAGTTTGTTAAATCTCATTTTTGATGTTAACAAATAATATATGAACTAACTAACATTTATTGGAATATTTTAGGAACAACAAGAAATCATTAATTAAAAATCTATTGTCAAGAACGATGTTGAAACATTAAACTAGCGTAGAATATAAGCAGATTTGAATGTAAGGATATAATTCTATATATCTATATTCACAAGCTCAATTTTACTCACAAAATATATGTTTAAAAGCCTTTTTATAATAAATTTTAAATATAGAAAAGGTTTTAAACAAAATCAAGAAGGATTTGGCCAAAAATGAAAAAAAGCTACGAAACCGTACAGTACTACAAATGCTACTACATTTGTAACACCTTAATCCGTCCAAGTCTGCAACCCCTTTCAGACTAAAGTATGAACTTTGTAATGTGAAAATTTAAAACATTTCAAACTTTATTTTAACATAATAAAATTTTCATAAATTAAAACATTAGGAGTTTCATAAAATTTGCAGAAGCTTTAATAAATTATTTCACATCAGAATCATCAAATATAAATAGTTTATTTTTGAAATATTTATTAAATAGTTGAAAATCATCACACATCCGTCCGACATCTTGTCCCCATCTGCCACCAGGATCATCATTATCACATTATTCTTTATTTTGTTTACCTACGTATAGTAATATAAATAAAGCATACTACACGCTCAGCGATAAAGTTGAGTAAGGATATATAATGCGTCGAACATATATTTACATAAATAGAATCACAATTCACAAGCAAATCATATGGTATCATGCAATTAATATACAGTTTAGATATTCAATATTCATGGTATCAACAGTACTCTTAAACTACTTTTAGTCTAAGGCCAAATTATAACAGTGCTTTTAAACTATTCTCAGTCTAAGACTAATTTATTTTGCTAATGAGACTCTTAAACTATGGCTTGTTTAAAGCAAAATACATGAATCAATGACCTATTCTGTGAGTCTATAGGTCACTGCATACTAAGAAAACAGAACAATGGTCTGCTCACTGTCGGGTGGGTGGTACCCCCTAGATGAGATTTTCCCAAATGGTTTGAGGATCCCGTACATACATTTTAACCCGAGCCACTGAATGTACACATCTGCAAGGCCCAACTAATTTAGTCACATTGGGTATATCTTAGACTTCTTCTGGACAGCCTTAATTGTTTATAATCACAATTTAATCAAGACATTTATTATTTAATCAAGGTTCAATCATCATAATCAATAATAGTCATCATCATAATATTTAAATAACAAGTAGCGACCTAGCATCGAATGTTAACACCCTAACTTACTATCATAAAAGATTAAATGTGTCCAGAAATAAAAACAAATCATAAAATATTAAAAACCACTTGGTAGGTTTGGACGCTAATAACCAACGCCAATAGCCAAAAGCCAAATGCCAGTTTCTGAAAGCCGAACACGACCTCTGAAAGCTGAACACCGAACATCGTGGTTTTTTGTTTGAATGAATGCCAAGTATTTTTAACTTATAAAAACTTTTTTAAAAAGGTTTTAATGATGCCCAATTTAATGATTTTAACTTTGAGAGCCAAGTTTACAAGGTCAATGCCGATCTTGATCACATTAAGACTAACTCGTCTATTTCTAAGTCTTCGTCTTCGTTCTTGATTCTTACTTCCGGCTACTTGACCACTTTTCCATGTTCTTCGCCTTGAGTTTGTTCAACATCTTTTCATATCCACAGTGGTTTGGCATTTATCAAAATCTGTCAAAACCGAACACCACTGTAATTAGTACAAAATAGACGTAAAGTGTGTTCCAACAACCTTGGGTTTGAATTACTTCGCATTTAGGTAAGTTCTCGTTCGAGTTGAGAACTACATGTTTATGAGCCAGTGTCATTAAGTTTGAATCGACCCAATGAGTTATGACTTTCATTTATTTTTTGAAATTATAAGTAATTTTTATGACCCGGTCTCAATATTACGAATAAAAAAACTAAATATATATGCAAAAAAAATTGAAAAAAAGTAAGATAATTATGTGATACCATTAAAATTTTGTATGAAAATATAAATTTATATATTGAAAATAAATATTAAGCAAAGATATATACAATTATGATCTAAGTTTTATTAGATTATATTTCATATTAAATACTCCCTCCGTCCCAGGAAACCTTTCTCCTTTCTTTTTTCATCCGTCCCAAAAAACACTTCTCATTTCTATTAAAAAGTCAATTTTACCCCTTATTTTTTCATACCCTACCTATCACATCATACCTTTTTACTAATAATCTATCCATCAAATCATACTTTTACTCATCACATCAAAGCACATTTTTGAAAATTCAATACCAAAATACACTCCCCTTAAATCTCTCTTCAAAATCAAAACTCCCATGTTTTTCGGGACGGAGGGAGTATGTGATTTTGAAAAATTCTTACATTAGCAGGTCGGTCAAGTCGGATTTGGGTTCGGTCGAGTTTGGCCCATTATTAGCGAGTCATTTCGGTTTCTTCCAGCAGAATCTTTGTTCACCTTATTATTTTCAAGTTGGGTCTCAGATCAAAAATATGTCTGGTCATTTTTTGTCATGTCTACTTATATTCATAGCTAGAGTTAGGCCTGTCAATGGGTTGGGTTCGGGCCGGTCTATAGTATTTTATACCCATACCCTATTTAAAAAAATTGATCGTGAAGTGACCTGCACCCATTTACTCGATGGGTCTTGAAGTTTAATCATAGATTTGGATTGATTAGGTAGTGGTATTAGGTCGGGTATACCCATGATAAAAGTTGACATCTTTTACTTTTCTATAATTGAAAAATAATTGGTGAAAGTACTATGAATGATTTTAAATCGAATACGAATAAAAATAAGACTAATACATTATTTCTACAAAAATAGGTATTCTTTACCAAAAATCTACAACAAAAATTTTAGATTCAAATCGCTCTTATTTTCACATTCATTCATGTTGCAAGAATGTTCTTTATAACATTACAGCTAATTCCTAACTATTTATTTTGCCGCTAATGTAATGAATATGAATAGATTTGGAAGCCACGCAACGTGACTAGCGAAGAAGAGGGGTATGGTTTTGTAATATTTAATATTATCTATTTATGTAACCGGTACAGGTTTTAAATGGGTCGGGACTACTCGTCCTATACCCAATCCTTTATTTTTTTTAAAAAAATATTGGGTACGAGTTCGAGTAGGAATAAACGGTATTTTTTATGTTCTAAACCCGCTAAAATATTACCGACATTATACGGGTTCATCAGGTCATCTATACCTTACCCACTGAGAGGCCTATCGAGAGTCTAGACTTCATATTTCAGTTTCCATGTCCATGCTCAAATTATTTGTATCCAAAGGAAGAGTAATTTTTTTTAAATGATTCCACTGTTAAAAATACAATCAAATCCTCGTGATTGATCTTGATTGATTCCCATATCTTCTCTAATCAAAGATTACCTCCTTAAATGTATCCCCTAACTTTGTGTAGAATATCCCTGCATATAACTTCCTAATTTGTGAAGCTATATATTTATGTATTAACGTACCTCTTGTATAAATAGGTCTAACGGCTCTAACCTATATGAGGAATAAAAACAACCACCTCTACAAACCATCTATCTCTCTCCACCAATCCAAACATAGCCTTAGCTTTTATTGAGAGTGGTTAAGTGACATGAGCCCACTTTTAATAATTTCCTCAAGATCAAGAGCAATGATGTAAGAAACCATCTTTTTTTTCTTTTTAAATTATGTTCACCGTAATTCTCTCTTTATTGACAGTAGTAATATTTACCCTTTTTCCTCTAATTTTGTGGCTGGATTCGTGGTTTTAACTTTTTACCAAGCTATAATAGAGAAGAGTGCTTCTATGGTATACTTGGGTGCATATCGTTTTTGTGGATCTTCTCACAATTTTTTTTATTTTTTAATTAAAAAATGGATGCTTATTTAGATAGTAAGAATGTGCTTATTTTGCTCATATGTAGGTCTATGGTAGACCTTAAGTCGACCATAGAATTCACCAATGGAGATATATCTTGGATCTTTTAATTTTTTCGAAGTCTTGGAGCTCTTTTTTAGTTGTCAAATAATAGCTAAATAGATCCAGTGCTCCTCTAATTTGGAAAATAAACATCCATACCTTTTGTTTTTAAAATTTATACTCCCTCTGTTTACATTTTTATTACAATTTTATTTTCTTTCTCTTCTTGATAACTTTTCTTTGTTCGTGTATTTTCATTGATTATTCGATAAAATAAAATATTCTTGTCACCTCTTATTTTGTACTCCCTACGTTTGCAAAAAAGCTTCCTACTTTGACTTTGAACCAAAATAAGAAAGTATTAAATTATAGTTGACTTTCAATTTTGGCCCTGATTTTATGGGTAAAAGTAAGATGTGATGGATAGATTATTAGAGAAAAAGTATAATGTGATAGGTAGGGTATGAAAAGGTAAGGGTAAAAGTAAATTTTTAATAGAAAGGGTAAGTGTTTTGTTGGGAGTGGAAAAAATGAAAGAGAAAGTATTTTTGAGAACGGGTGGAATAGAACTTTTAATGTAATTTTTTAACTTGTAATTTTTAATTTTTATTGATGTACCAATTAGTAAATAAAATAATTTCAAAAATCGTAGAATTTAACCTTTTGATTCCTATTTCGTAATCAAAATAGGGACATTCGTGCCTAATTTTCAAATCACATGATCCCTCGGAGCCCAATATCGTATTTTCCATTAATTTAAAAATCAAAATTGTTTGTGATTAAATTAAAAAATAAATGAAAATAAATTATCACATAATTCATTGGTCTAAAATTAAAAACTTTCATTTTTTTGTTCCAAAATATAAAAACAGAAAAAGGACAAAAATGGAAAAAGGAAATAAAAAAAGAAAATGATACGAATACACTCTTATTGAAAAGGTAAAACATAGTCAAGGAAGAAAAGAGTAATTTTCCTATTACTCATTTTCGTTTTTAAACGTGTTAAAAAGTTTTTCTTTTTATTTTAGAAAAAATAAATACTAATGTTTAAGTCAATATATATGAAGTATGTGCTAATTTTTTTATTTCAAAACAAACAATTTTGATTTTTAAAAACATTATAAAGAACAATTAAATATGATCGGAAAATAAAATATTGGACAGCGATGCCCCCTGTAGTTTTAAAATTAGGCTATGATGTTTCTCTTTGTTGGAAAATGAATTGAAAACAGTGGTGTCTGTCAATGTTTTGAAATCATAGAGATTTTTAGAAATAAATTTTCAAAAATATGACATTATCTTATTTTTAAAACCTTTGGAGCTCTTTGGTCGTCAATCCATCTCTGAGGGCTCCTCACACCCGGTCGAACGATTACTGAGAGAAATAAATTAGGTTTTAATTACATATTAGTGACAAAAAGTGAAGCATGTACATTATGTCCTTATGCTTGCATAGGCTCTATGTGTAGTATAATTGTCTCCTAGTGCAGTTATTAGGAATCGAATTCCAGTCTTACCTTCTCAATACTCCTTGTCTTACCAATTGTACAACGCTCACCGGCTTGGAGTTAAATATCGATACCAACGAAGTGTTGGTTTTTTGAAAAGTGTTTTTACGAACAGTGTACAAAAGTTAATTGAGACAATTATTTACTTTTAACTTTTGTTGTACATAACTATTGACTCCTTGTGATTTTTGGCCCTTACAACCACTTGTTTTGAGACTTTTCCCATATTCATTTCAATTGACCATTCATTTTTGCTGGATGAAAGACTAAAAACAACCCAAATACATAGTAGAAAAATTTATAGTTGTTCATTACAAGTGAAAGAATTGAAGTTTAATCTGTGAAAAAAAGCGCCATGCCCTTTAATTTTTTTTCACGTTTTGGTGCATGGCTATGCATTGGTGGTCACTGTCGGTGACTTGACATGTGAGCAAAAATATTCATAAGAATAACCAAACATGATTTTAACAAATCTATTCTTGTATATACACCGACCATTGATGCATTTATAATGCCATGTCCGAAACTTCAAAGAAAGTACCCAATCAAAGGGAGTTTAATGTAAAAGTGTTGGGACCGTGTGTGTCTTCCCCCAACCCCACATTAGTATGATATTGTCCGCTCTGGGCCAAGCCCTCACGGATTTGTTTTTGGGCACTTCCCAAAAAGCCTCATACTAATGGGGTTGGGTGAACCTATATATTTTGGTCCATTTTTTCTTCTCCCTCCGGTGTGGGACTTGGAGGAATCCCAACAAAAAGGTCTTACTAGGCCTATATTTTTTCAAAAGTGTTTCAATTTTCATGCCCTAAATTATTTTAAGTACTTCTCAAGTCGTTGTACTTTTTAATTGGTGCCCAGATAGTCCTTTTGATGACTCTTTTGGCCAAAACCCCAGCATAACGTTCATTTTTTTGTAAAAATATTCATTCCCTTTTGCACTCTAAAATATAGGGATCTAATAAAAGGACAAAAAGGGTATTAAAATATTTTTAAAAGAAAAGTAGATGCTATGCCGGAGTTTTGGCGGGAAAAGTCACCGGAAGGACTATCTATGTACAAGTTAGGAAGTATAGAAACCTAACAAGAACTAAAAATACTCGGTAATTAGGAACTTGAGGAGTACTTTTGAAAAAATATAGCTAGGAACCTAGTAAGACTTTTTCCAATTATTTTGTCTTAGTCAATTACTTGCCCGAAACTAAACATTGTAAAAAAAACATCTATTTTGATGATACTTGTTGGGTTTGTGGAGGCTTGGGCTTGACTTTTTTGGCCCGGCCCATGTTACGAAACCCTAGATGCACTCTTCCTATATATATTGCATACTTGTACTTGTAATCGACACCACAAGTGAAATAAGAAAATCCTCCTGTTGCAGCCGTGGATTAGGGAAACCGAACCACGTTAAATTCTTGTGTGTCGTTTGTGTTCCGTTTCTCTCTTGATTCTCGCAGATATCTGTGTGTGTTGTGTGTTTAATTCCCAACAAGTGGTATCGGAGCGTTGGTTCGTTAAGACACCGAAAATCCGATCAGCAGAAACTAATCAGAGGAGTGTCACTTGGGTTCTTTGGAGAAGAACTGTGTGCAGCAGCACGAGCCGGAGTGAGGGCCGCTGCCGCCGGAGCACCACCATCCCCGTTGATTCCCACGGAGCACTACCGCGCTTGAATTGGAGAGCCGCAGCAGGAAGTAAGTCCCGTGAGACTCACCGC